AAGGCTAAGCTAAAACCCTTAGCTTTCAAAGTTCTAAAGACTGGACTCTCCTAAATACTGGACTCTTTAGAGTACAGACTCAGTTTACCTTTCCAGACCCTTTGCTGCTGCCCCGCCCCCTCCCCCCAACCAATGGATGAGTTGTAAGGAACCAGAACCACTTCCCACCTCCGCCTCCCTCCTACACCCCCACCCATAGCCATGAACCGTGATGGTTTTTCCTCTTTCTATTCCTTCTGCTTTTCTGCCTAGACCATTCTCTGTCCTAGACGAAACTCTTAAAAAAACAAACACACCCAAACTCTATTTATCTTGGAATAATTTTAGATTTATAGAAAAGTTGCAGAAATAATAGCTTTCCTATATCCTTCACTCAGCTTCCCCTGATGTTAGCATCTTACCTAACATGGCGTTTGCAACAAAGCTGAGAAATTCATGTTATTACTCACAAAATGGCAGACTTTATTTGGATGTCACCAGGTTATTTTGTTGTTGTTTCCGCTCTGTGATCCATTCCAAGACGCCACAGGGCATTCAGTTGTCCTGTCTTCTTCATCTCTCCCGGTCTATCCCAGTGTCTTAACGTTTCCTTGAATTTTGTGACCTTGAAAGCTTCGAAGAGTACTAGTCAGTATTCTCTAGAACGCCCCTTACTTTGGGTTAATGTCATCTCATGATTAGACTGGGATTTGGGGTTCGGGGAAAGAATGCAACAGAGGTGAAGTATCCTTATCATTGCATCACATCAGGATTTACACGATATATAGCAACATGACTCACCAATGATGCTGATCTTGATCATTTGGTTAAAAGTGGTGTCTGCAAGACTTCTCCACTGTAGAATTACTACAGCCCCTTTTTGGAGGGGGCTTTTATAGGGTGATATAAAAGGTAACATTATAAAAGAAATAACTGAAAATGATTGATAGATTAGGCTCCTAAAATTAAAAAACTTCAATACAGCAAATGATAAACTAGGGCAACATTTGCAACACATGGCAGACAAGGGGCTGTTTTCCGAATACATACCGAGCTTTTCCAGTTAGTAAGGAAAAGTCAAATGCCCTCAAGAAATGGAATAAACAAAAAACAAAACAAAAACAAAAAGGAGTTGGAACTAAGAAGAGATGCTGTTGGTCAACAAGCATGTGGGGAGAAAAGAAAAAGAAACAACCAAGAAATGTAACAATGATATACCAATATTATCTAATTTATTGTCCCTATTCAAGAGTCCCCACAATATCAGGGTCCACTTTGGGATCACCCATTGATTTTATTTTTCTTAAGTTTTTATTTAAATTTCAGGTAGTTAACCTAGAGTGTAATAGTAGTTTCAGGTGTACAATATAGTGGTTGAGCACTTCCATTCAACACCCAGTGCTCATTACAACAAGTGCCCTCCTTACTCCCCTGGGCCACCCATTGATTTTAGTCTCCTTTAATCCAAGATAGTCCCCAAACCTTCTTTGGTCTTCCACGGCATTGACATTTTTGAAGAGATGGAGCCAATGTCTTAATTGCTATGCTTCTCCTCTCATGACTGGATGAGTTCTAAACTTTTATGGCAAGACATTTTCATATGCGCTGTGGGATAGTTGTCTTGCATCCCATCAGAAAGCACAGCAGGTCAGAGCTCAAGAAAGAAGAAGGAGGAGGAGGAGGAGGGGGCAGAGAAGGAGGAGAAGAAGAAGAAATGCCCTTAGGCAATAAGCATGTGGAAAAAAACCCCAACATTCACCCCCCATCATATTAAAGAAAATGCCACTTAAAACAATACCGTCTTTCACATATGAAATTTTTAATGTTTTGAACGTTTCAAACTTTTAAGTTAAAAAAAGAAGGCTGATCCTTCACAAGCTCATGGTGGGGCCGAGGACAGTCCGAAATGCATGTCAAAGCTTTAAAAAAAACACAGCAGTTTCAATACCAAGAATTTATTTAGAGGAAACACAATTGTGTAAGGAGTTAGTTTCAATACTGTTATTTTTTTTTAATAGCAATAAAATTAGAAACCAACGATGTATCTGGAGTAGGGGATTGGTTAGTTATGTAAATTATGAGTCTTCCACGTACTGGAATATTCCTCAGCCACTAAAAGTTATGGTTTAGAGGAATACTGGTGCTGTGCAAAATTGTTATGGATCAACATTTTAAAAGGGCACCAAGCCACGTTGCAGTAAGATCTCATTTTTGTAAAAAAAAGAAAAAGTATGTTTGTTTACAAAACACACAAGAAAGCCTGAACACCATCATAGGTATTATCAGTAGTTAGGGATGGTGGGGTAATCGGTGATTTTCATTTCCTTTCTGCTAATCTAGATTCATTAATGTTTGCTTAATTAAGAAGCATTGTTTTTATAATAAGAGAAAAATGTTGTTGTTGTTTTTTAAAATCTCCTAGGGTTGTAGTGGATCCCCCCAAGGATGACTGCTAGTTAAGGTGCTTGTGAGCTGTTGAGGGCTTGCGTTAGATCAGCCCCTAGTCCAGGTGGTTCTTTTATGATTTTAACTTTGAGCATCTGGTTCTCCCTTCCCAGACTTAAAAAGCTGAGAAGGGGAGCATGGTGAAAATACAGTAGGACACTCGCCTGCACCTGTGAAAACCACCTGTTATGGGCTGTTTCTGTCTCCCCCAAATTCGTATGTTGAAGCCCTACTCCCAATGTGATGGGATTAGAAGGCAGGGCCTTGGGCAGTAATTAGGTTTAGATGAGGTCCTGAGAGTGAGTCTATCCTGATGGGATTCGTTCCCTTAAGAGCAGAGGAGGAGAGAGAGATCACCCTGGAGGGGCCCAGGAGAGGCCCCAGGAGAACACAGCCAGAAGGCCACCATCTACAAGCCAGGAGGCGGGCCCTCCCTGGACACCAGATCTACCGGCACCCTGACCTTGGACTTCCAGCCTCTGGAACTGGGCGGAGTCAATGTCTGTTGATTAAGCTGCCCAGTCTGTGATGGTTGTTTCAGCAGCCTGAGCTAAGACACCACCCTCCCAGCACTCTGTCATTTATGTCATTATGTCACATACATCCTTCTAAATTTACAAACAGTAAAATTCACCCTTTCTCATGTGTAGTTCTGTGGTTTTGATAAATGCATACCGTTGTGTAACCGCCACCACCGGAATCAAGAGATAGAAAAGTTTCATTAGCCCCCCAAAATTCCCTCGTGCTGCCCCTTTGTTGCCAACCCCTTCCCTCCCCCTGGTCCTCAGCAACCACTGGTGTTGGCCATCCTCAGAGTTTTCCCTTTGCCAGGACGTCATACAAATAGAATCAGACATTATGAAGCCTTTTGGAGTCTGGCTGCTTCTACTCAGCGTCCCGCTTTGAGATTCTTCCATATTGTATTGCTCCATTGCATGGGTAAATCCGTTTATCCCTTCACCTGTTGTAGAATATGTGGATTGTGTCTAATTTCTAGTTCCGGGGCGATCATGACTAAGGTCGCTATGAACAGTCATGTGCAGGTTGGAGTATGAACACACATGGTTTTCCTTTCTCTTGAGGAAACACCTAGGAGTGGATTTTTTTTTAAATTTTGTTATGTTAATCACCATACATCACATCATTAGTTTTTGATGTAGTGTTCCATGATTCATTGTTTGCGTATAACACCCAGTGCTCCGTGCAGAACGTGCCCTCCTTAATACCCATCACCGGGCTAACCCATCCTCCCACCCCCCTCCCCTCTAGAACCCTCAGTTTGTTTTTCAGAGTCCATCGTCTCTCATGGTTCATCTAGGAGTGGATCTTTATATGCAGTGGCCAAACTTGAATGTGTCATGCTGAGGATCCAGGGAGGGGAGGGTGGGTGGGAGGAGTATACTCTTGCTGAGCACCTACTGTGTGCCTCCCACAGCGCCAGGAGCTTCATGCGCATGGCCTCACGTGGTCCTCAGCACAGCCGAGGAAATAACAAGCTCCGGCTACCCCTTGACCCACAGAACAGGCAGTGACATACATTTCAAACCAATTAACACAGAGTTACTGTCTTTGAACTTGGAGAGGGTTTGCGGTGGCAGACTGTTGAGCCTCCACCGAATGTCTTCCCTCCACATTCCGACTTTGTTCTAGCATTTACTATCTTCACTAGATAGTAATGGCTGAAAGTCGATTAGGTTGAGGGCTCTCTCCCTGAACTTCCATAAGAAGGTTCTTCCCAGTTCCAACTGCCGGCACCACTCAGTGTATGGACCTAATGAAATATGAATCACCACCTGCCTCAACTTGGAACTTTAATGACCGATGTTGAACACCCAGAAGAAACAGAGTCACACCACCCCTGCCCCCTTGACGTTTTGCCTTTCCCCATCCCATGTGGGTCCTACTCCGCCAGCAAGTCAGTTGACCTTTTCCGCATTGGTGATCTGCCCCTTCCCCATGTCACAGCAAAGACGGTCACAGTGGGTTGTGTCTAGTTCTTAACTTAAATAACTTTTTCTCAACTCTTTTTGTTTCATTAGAAAAAAAATGTTACCCGTGGTGAACATTTTTAAAAATCACACACTGTATAAAGGGATATCCAATGAAAAAATACAAATCTCCCTTTCATCTCAGACCCCCAGTCTCGTTCCTCAGAGATAGCCACGGCTCACCGTTTCTTGTTTAGGCTTCCAGAAATGTTCTGTGTGGATAAGGTGCTTTTAAATGCTGCTTTTCGATGTTCAAGTGTTATAGTTGTCCAATTGTTCCGAAATTGTTGGGTACTTTTTAAACTCGTAATCACTCATATCGGGGTCCTCGGATTGCCTTTGAGGACCCACAAACCACCTGAAATTTTATGGCAAACTTCCATCTCTGCGTTTTTCGGTGGAGGGTCAGTAGCTTTCATCAGGGGTCTGTGCACACACACCCCGCCCACATGCACACCCCCCCACACACACACACAGGAAGAAACATGGCTTACACAAAAAGGCATGGCGGGCGGGTATGAGAAAAGCAACCTTTTACTGACAAAAAGTAGTTACATGTGTAATCAGCTGGGGGTGCAAGTTCCGAATTTATGGATCACTGGTCCCTAGTTCTGTGGTTGGAAGCCAATGGAGCCATTGAACAGTTTTGTCCCGGGCTAAGGGGAACCGTGCCTGGCTGAGCCAACAGCCATGAAGTTCACCGAGCTCTTCAGCCCTGGGTATTTCTACTGAGTCATTGCCTGTGGGGAAGTGTGTTGGCAGCTTTAGAACACAGGCATGCTCTTGCCCGGGATGGAGTTACCCATTCACTGGGAACTTCTCACAGAGAGGAGGAGACAAACCTGCTTCTGACAAGAGGATTTCCGGCTGAAAAACATTCAAAAAGATTTTAGGGAAATTCCTGAGAGCCAAAGCCATATCTGGTTGGTGTTGAAAGTCATGAACGTGTGGGGAAATGTCCTTCATGGGGTCAATATTCTTGATGGGGTGGAGGGTACGGAACAACCAGGCTCCCCATATCCTTGTTTTGGGGTGGCCCTGGAGGAGGAGACCGATTCTGGCTGGACGGATGGAGAGAGGGTCTGACCTTACAAGGTAGTTCCCGTGTTAGTTTAAATGCACATCGCATTTTGCGTATATTAACTCATAACTCATCGATCCTCATAACAGTTCAATGACATGGGGAAACTGAGGCAGGAGTATGCTAGCTACTGTGCAAACAGCCCCACATCTCAAGGGCCCAAGACAATTAGGTCACAGTGTCACCTGCTGGGTGGGGAAGGTGTGGAGTCTTTGCTCCACAAGGTCCTTCAGGGACCCAGGCTTCTTCTGTCTTCAGCACTTGGTTTCCAAGGGCTTGGTGAGCTAATAACACCAACCACTAGTTGTAGAGAGGTTTTAAGTCCCGGTAGTCTGGTTCCAGAGTCTGTCTTCTTAACCACTACATCATAGTAAGAAATGATAGCCCTGGCTTTTAGCTAGATTTACCTGGTGTGTCACCTCAGAACTGGAGGGAGGGAGAATACGAGGAGTTCTGGAGAACATTGGCGCTTCATTGCCAAGGTCTCAGGCTCTTCTTCCTAAGGACTGAGCTGGGTAAATGTCATGGACATTTTTACCTCATCTTCTGCACATAAATATGAAAGCCTTTCCCCCCAAAAGTTTGCACCTGAAATACATGTGCGTCAGCTTCGTTGCTGCCTGGCACGCGGGTCTTTCCGCCACAGACATCATCCGTGCTGAGCTGACTGCCCCGTATTGCTGCTTGTTGTAGGGAGGAGGTTTTGCTAAATTTCAGCACCCTCGTTAAAACATTTTTCCCCAGTTGAAGTGTCTTCTTGTGGAAAGAACCCAAATGTCCAACATAAAAGCCCGGACAATAGACTGTGGTACATCCACACAAGGGAATGCAACATGGCCGTTAAACATGGCAGTGATGGAGACTTTGAGAGACCTCGAAAGACAATTCTAATCTCCCATCCAAGTACTAACCAGGCCCGACCCTGCTTAGCTCCCGAGATCAGACGAGATCGGACGCGTTCAGGGTGGTATGGCCGTAGACAAGACAATTCTAATCTCTTAATGTGAAAAAGCAGATTATGAAAGCAGTCTGCTTTTTTCATTTTAAAAAGGATACAAAGAATTTAAGATTTTGAATATTTACCATTTCTAAAGTTCCTATAGAGAACCACGTATGACTTTGTATTAAAGTTACAGATTTCAAAATTTAAGTGCTGGCCCTAAGGACTGGACTGACTTGGGTAATTGCTGAATGTCTCCTAATGGGGAAGAGAGTTGTAGGATTTAGTGAGGATTAAATGAGCTATGGGTAAAAAGTACACACGGTAGATACTCAGTACATTTTTAGATGCTGTTATTGTCATAACTGCTTTTAAAAAACCTTCCCATTCTGACAAGCCCACTCCAAATCCAAACGAACCATTTCCAGTAGTGGGAGGTGGGGGCTTTATTGCAACAGGCCTGGGGTTGTGGACCTGTGAGGAGGCCAGTGTGCACCCCGGACGTCCCTCTGGCCTCTGCTGTAGGGTAGGGTAGAGCTGAGTGACTGAGCTGCTGCTTTTAAGTGTTGCCCAAGGGGGCACCTGGGTGGCTCAGTTCGTTAAGCAACTGCCTTCAGTTCAGGTCATGATCCCAGTGTCCTGGGATCGAGTCCCACATCGGGCTCCTTGCTCAGTGGGGAACCAGCTTCTCCTTCTGCATGCCGCTCCCCCTGCTTGTGCTCGCTCTCTCTCTCTGTCTCTCTCTGACAAATAAATAAAATCTTTAAGAGAAAAAAAAATGTGTCGGCCAAGGGGCGCTCTGGCTGATGTCCGGTTTCTGTCCGCTGCACAGAGAAATAACTCAGGTTCTGAGTCAGACTACCTGGATTCCACATCGATTAAATAGAATTTAATGCCACCACCGTAGGGTGGGGGTGAGGATGAAGTGGTCCTAAGCTTGCGGAGCCTTAGCACAATGTCTCAGGAATTGCCAGTGCTCACAGACAGGTTAGGCCTCAGAAATCCATATGACATAATTACATTAATAATACAACATATTTTACACTGTTATAGTTCCAGAATCTTTTCATCATCCTAGACAGAAATGGAGGAAGGCTTTTTAAATGCCTATAGGAGTGGTTCTTAAATTTCGGCACGTGTTAGAAGCTGCCCCAGAATTTCTCATCCAGTAGGTCTGAAGGGTTGGGGCCCAAGAACTTGCCTTTCTGACCGGCTCCCAGTGGTGCTGATGCTGTCGGTCTGGGACCACACTTGGAAAACCACTGCCTAAGATTGCAAGATCTGCAGGAAAGGGCGGATGATGACCTCATTCAGGCTGAACCCGGGGAGCTGGGGACTGCAACCAATGGAATTTATGATAAGAATTAGATCTTTCCCAGTTATGGGGGGGGGGAGCAGAAGTGAAGATGAAACAGGAACTGAGGGACCAGGGTGTCCAGCCACCAAGGTGAGACCACAGGGAGGCTAGTGGAGAAGCCCGTGGGCAGCTATGGCCTGGTGGGTGCCCAGCCAGGTGTCCGGCGGCAGGCTTGGGGACACTGTGGGTCAGCAGGACCAGCAGTCAGAGAGAAGAGCTGGACACAGATCAGGCAGCAGGACGGGCTCAAACCTGCTGGGCCCCACAGGGCCTGTCCATCACTGCATCTACCTCAAGAGCCTAATGGCTGGCTACTTCTTCACTTCCAGCTTCCAGATTTCCCACAGACTCCTCTTTGGGCCAATTCTAACCTAGAGCCAATAGGAAGGAGGATTCTGGGGAAAGCAATTCCGGCTTCACCAAATTGACACAGCATAAGCTACCCTAACAGATCAGTCAATCCCTGCCATGGAGCTGCCTCCCTGAGCCCATGGGTGCTTTGGGGGGCCTGGCTGGGGGTTCCCCAGCTCTCCCAGCAGGACCTTCTGTCTGGCACAGATGTGGCCAGCGATCCCCAGCGATCCTTTGCTCAGAGCATCAATCAGCTGGATTCGAACCTGTTAGGGAACTTACAAAAAACAGATTCCCAGGCCCTAGCCCAGGCCTCCGACAGCAGGACCCGGGAATCTAGATTTTTCACTTGCTCTGAAGCTGATTCAGACATCCAGCCAAGTTTGGGACTCCTGACATGTGGAGCAGAAAGGAGACTCTGGGGCCAGGCAGACATGAGTTTGAATTCTGGTTCTATAAGTATTAGCTTTGTGATCTTGGGCAAGCAGCTAACCCTTTCTGATGTGAGACTGTTGACTCATCTGTAAAATGGGCATAATGCCTGCCTTCCTCGTGGAGGGTCATGGGGACCGAATGACAGAATGTATCACAAACTTCTGGCACGTGAATATTATGGTGCTTAATACAGTTAATAACTGTGCATATACACGTCCAGGGGTGTGTCAGATGGGCCCAGAGTCTTCTCTTTCTTCTTAGGAATCTGGGCCTTCACCTGGCCATATTCTTACACAGATTGTTTTCCTGACATCATGAAAACCAGACTTGCTTTTCCTATGTCTCTATTCATACTCCAGGCATTGTTTCATATAAAGATCAGTTGCTTCAATCTTGAAAAAGAAGAACAAAACTGGAGGTTTCACACTCCCAAATATCAAGATATGCTATGGCACAGAGAGCCCAGAAATACACCCACACTTTTACGTTCAATCTATGACAAAGGCAGCAAGAATGTACAATGGGGAAAAAAGATGGTCCCTCCAATGAATGATGTTGGGAAAACTGGACAGCTACGTGCAAAAGAATGAAACTGGACCACTTTCTCACATCATATACAAAAATAAACTCAAAATAGATGAAGAACTGAAATGTGAGACCTGAAACCATACACATTCTAGAAGAGAGTTCAGGCAGAAATGTCTCTGAAATCGGCAGGAGCAATATTTTTCTAGATATGTCCCTTGAGGCAAGAGAAATGAAAGCAAAAATAAACTATCAGGACTACACCAAAATAAAAAGCTGCACAGCAAAGAAAACCATCAACAAAGCAAAAAGACAACCTACAGGATGAGAGAAGATATTTGCCAGTGACATATCCAATAAAGGGTTAATATCTAAAATATATAAAGAACTGATACAACTCAACACCAAAAAAACAAATAATCCAATTAAAAAATGGGCAGAAGACACAAACGGATGTGTTTCTCCAAAGAAGACCTCCAGATGGCCAACAGACACATGAAAAAAATGCTCCATGTCATTTATCATCAGGGAAATGCCAATCAAAACCACAATGAGCGATCATCTCACACTTCTTAGAATGGCTGTAATCAAAAAACACAAGAAACCACAGATTGCTGGTGAGGATGTGGAGAAAAGGAACCCTCTTGCACTGTTGGTAGGAATGCAAACTGGTGCAGCCACTGTGGAGAACAGTATGGAGTTCCTCAAAAAAATAAAGATAGAATTACCATATGATCCAGTAATTCCACTCCTGGGTATTTACCCAAAGAAAATGAAAACACTAATTCAAAAAGAAAGAGCCCACGTGTCCATCGATAGGTGGATAGATACAGACATATATGTACACACACAACACACACACACACACACACACACACAATGGAATATTACTCAGCCATAAAAAAAGAATGACATCTTGCTATTTGCAACAACATGGATGGAGCTAGAGAGTGGAATAAGTGAAATTAAGTCAGTCAGAGAAAGCCAAATACCATATGATTTCACTCAAATGTGGAATTTAAGAAACAAAACAAACAAAGAAAAAAGGAAACAAAAAACCAGACTCTTAACCATAAAGGACGAATTGATGGTTCCCAGAGGGGAGGTTGGGGGGGGGAGGGGGATGAGGGAAATAGGTGATGGGGATTAAGGAGGGCACTTGTTTTGATGAGCACTGAGTAATGTATGGAATTGTCAAACCACTATGTTGGACACCTGAAACTAATATAACACTGTATGGTTAATTATACTGGAATTTTTAAAAAAGAATAATTTCTTCAAAAAAAATATCAGTTGCTTATTTCTTCTTTAGGCAAACTTCACAAATTCCATCTTTAAACAAAAATGATTCCATCGAGACCACCCCAACCTCCAGCCCGGTTTCATCTCAAAATGTTTCCTTGAATCTGGAATCTTTGTTGTTTTCTTGGAACATTTCCATAAACATCTTTCCTTCCATGTCTGTCACTTTGACACTCAGTCAACTGCTGTGGTCTGTGTGATAGAACGACCTGCGTTTCCAAGAAAGCAAAGCTGGAAGATTTCGCAAGGTCTGCTCCTCGGTGGATGAAAGCGGTACCTCCCGGGCCAGGCTATTTGATAAAAGGAGCTTTGGCTTTGAAGTGAGCTTTTAAAGAAGCCTGTTATTCCCAAAGCAAACAAAAGCAGCAATAACGAAAACAGAAGCTTTTGCATTTCAGCTGCTACAAGGGTGAAAAAGGAAAGGATGATTTTTAATGGTCAGAAATCAGGGAAGGGGGGACCTTTGGAGAAGAGCTTTCAACATTAGGCCGAGGCCCAAGGGCACGGAGCGAATGCAACGTTCCACACCTTAGACACACCTCTGTAGGCTTCAGTGATGTGATCTCACCATTTCCCGTATCAGTCTGAACTCTGAGATTTTTCGTCTTAGAGACATCTGTAATCATTCATTGTTTGGGGCGCTTTCCCCATCTCCGGAAAGGACCTGGATTAGTCAGCCCAGGCTGCTAGAACAAATACCATATACACTGGGTGGCTTAGTAACAGAAACCGATTTTCTTACAGTACTGTAGGCTGGGAAGTCCAGGATCAAGATCTAGCATGGTCAGGTTCTTGTGAGGGCTCTCTTCCTGGCATGCAGATGAATGCCTTCTTGCTGTCTCTTCACATGGCCTCTCCTTGGGACATAGGTGTGGAGAGAGGGAGAGAGAGAGCGCGTGCAAGTTCTCTAGAGTCTCTTCCTGTAAGGGCACTAATCCCATCAGGCCAGGGCCCCGCCCTCATGACCCCCTCAACCCCGATTACCTCCCAAAAGCCCCATCTCCAAATACCAGGACATTGGGAGTTAGGGCTTCAAAATGTGGATTTAAATTCAGTTCTTAACAGTGCCCTAGCATCATCTCGATTGCTCAGGTTAAAATCATCTGCCCCTTCACCCCACTCTCCCTCCCCAATCAAATCCATGATAAATTCATCTCCATTAGTCAACTTTGCCCTGGGCTAGGAGTGTACCCTCCTAACTGGCTCCCTGCTGCCCTTCTGCCTTGCCCATTTCCAAGGTTATTTCTGCCTCAGGGCCTTTGCACTCACTGCTGTCTCCACCCAGGACTCCTCCCACTTTCCCATTCTGCTGTGCTGCTACCTTGTTGATCCCAGCTGAAACGTTTCCTTCTCTGAGAGGCCTTCCTCCATCACCTCATCTAAAGAACCACCTTCACCTTTATGCTGATGTTTTGTTTTCTTTTCTGAACAATTGTTAATCCATCCCTTCCAATGTTTAGAAGAGAGGCTTCATAAGAACAGGCCTTTCGTCTTGCTCATTTTGTGTCCATTCCTGTGTCTGGCACCCAGGATTGCTCAGTCAACATTTGTTGAATGAATGAATGAAGTCAGCAGAGATTTGTTGAGACTTTGCGATGCATACAGCTCTTTACCCAGTGTTAGAGGAATCCCGGAGAAATGTCAAAATGCCCAGAGGCAGCAATAAGAGGAACACAGGTATTAAGCCCTGCCTGCTTAACTTCAAATGTAGTTAGAGAAAGTAGCATGAAAATGACACCCTCCAGACCTCTCTAAATGGTCAGGATCAGGTGGCTCATACCAATGACCGGCATTGACAAAGCTCGAGAAGAGGAGAGCTCCTTCTCGCTGGCCATGGGAGGAGGCTTCACAGAGACAGGGCATACGAGCTGGATGTGGAAAGAGGTTAGGCCTTCATGGTCAGCTGGGAGAGGGGAGAAAGCCAATGCAGGGAGACGGGACAGCATGCAGAGGATGGAAGGCAGACCCATGTGACTGGAGTTGTGACATCAGGACTATTTCCCTCCCTTGGACACGTCCCTGACATTGCACTGATCCTTCTCCTGGGAGAAAGCACGTTTTCCTCCACCCTGTATTGCTGGTGCCTGGTACAGGAGCCAAAGCGGGTACTCCAGGAACACTGGCATAGGAAGTAAGCTTGAACGGGGGTCCGGGTGCTCCTGTCCTGTAGGCTGTGAGGGACTCCTTTGCAGCTTTGATAGACACAGTGGCTGGAGGGTTAGCATGGCCGGGGGGCTGAGACAGCCTTAGAGAAGTGGGTTATAATAATTGTCACAGTCAGCCAGGCCTGAGAAGTAAGAGGGAGGTGGACGGGGGCCAAAGAAAGGCTTTGGGAAGGGA